TAGGTATATTGATATATTTTATTTTTCGCCGAAGCTAGATAGAGCCGACTGCGAAACTGATCGTGATACTATGCACTCCGCCGCAGTAACGACATGTTAAAACAGCAAAACCAAATTTTTCAACAATTTTAAAAGTGTAACTGCAAAGTTGCTTTGCACAGCATGGTAAGCAGTGGGTACCCACCTCACAATAACGGAGTGATAGACGACCTCGTCAATCTCTTGAAATTGATATCACTCTTTGAATAAAAAATTATGTGATTGCAAGTGCCATTTCCTAATATCCAAAACTTTTATTGTGTCTTGATACAAGCTATCCGACATCGAAGAGTGATGCGCCGGTAGGATCAAAGATAAGTTCACGAATCACATTTCAAAATCTCAAGGTTTTATGCTAACATTCGTCAGCTATTACACTAGGGGGACATGAATGTCTCCTTGAAAATTAGAGTGTATAAAGCAGCCGTACCTTCGATCCTCCTTTATGGTTGTGAAACCTGGCCCATTAGATAGGCAGACATAAAGAGTCTAATTATGTTCGATCATCGCTGACATTGCAGTTTGGCCCATATCTGTTGGGAACACCCTGTTAGCAAGTAGCGTGTTTGGATGTTTGTTTATGGCACCGGAAGAGGAAAGGAACCGCTCAGCACCCCTATCTCATGAACCAGACTCCGATAGCTATGCCACGTTTTGCGCATAACGACATACTGACTCCCGCAATGCTCATTGTTTGGGCGCTGAGGGTGTGAATGGAAGACTAAGGAGGGAGGCCAAGCGATTAGCAGCGGAAGGGAGATGAAAGACCCTTAGTTCTAACTTGTCCTCGGTTGGAGCCTCTAGGTTCCTTGAGCCGACCTCATAGGCGTTTGTAGTGGGAGTTTCTTCGTCCCTTTCCTCCACATTAGCCTCTCCCACCGAACAAGCTCTCATGTACTGGGTATATTGCAAGTCTTTTTCAACTGCACTACACAATAGCCGACTGTTAGCTATACGGAACCATGTCCATCCGTTAATGGTGGAGCAACCGGCGTGTCTACGTCGCATGTTATTATAAATTTATTATATATTGCGGCACAGTAGATGAGATGATTTTCACATCCAGATAACGTGGATACTGATGATGATTATGATCAATGAACAACAATGAACAATGAATTTATACGGGTTAAGAAGCGTTGCTTTACAAGCCCCGTTGGAAAGTTGGTAGGGATATCAACAAAATAATTATGATGAAAAGGATAGTAAAATAGTTAACACTTTAAATACGAAAATAAGGACTTATCGTTTGCTTCGCTGAAGTCCTGCGATCCACTTAGATTCACAACACCCACAGTTAACAACAAATAATTCCAGGGTAAACTCCAGGTGTAGGATGGAGACATAGTGTTAAGTAACAAAGTGTAAGTGGATGAGTGCATCGTCCAACCGCCTTTTAAATATTGTTAATGTCGGTGCAGAAACGACCGATTCTGGGAGAGCATTCCACGGGTGACAGACACGGATGGAAAAGAAATTTCTGCGGCACTCCAGACGACTGTATTGTTCTACGAGTTTTAATGAGTGGCCCCTCAGGTTTGTATTGCTGCTGAGTTGCAGTAAAGGGCGGTACACATGATATGGGTCTCGCAGAATCAAGTATGTCATAATCAGGTCGCCTCGTAACCTGCGATAGCTTCCACTGAACAATCCCAGTCGTCGCAGCCTCTCCTGGTAGGAAAGATTGCGCATTCCAATTACGTTCTTAGATGCCCGGCGTTGTGGCTGCTCCAGTGGATTAAGGTTGTGTTTCAGCCATGGATGCTAGGCTTGAATTGCGTATTCGACATGGGGGCGAACATACGCACTGAGCATTTGTCGAAATATGGAGCTGTTTATTTGTCCAAACGCCCGCCTCAACAGCCCAACGTGTTGGTTCCCGGTCTTCGAGGCCTTTTCCGATTGCCTGGAGCAACCCAAGTCATCTTGAACCAGGACACCCAAGTCACGTTCGAGAGTTGATTGTTGCAGTACATCCGTTCCGAGTCGGTATGAGTAGCTGCCGTGATGTCGGATGGAAAGCACCTTGCATTTACTGACGTTGAAATGCAATAAGTTTTGGATCGACCATTGATACACTGTATCTAAGTCACTTTGGAGCACAAGTTGGTCGGCGTTCGCCTGGATCCTGCGCCAGATCTTGATATCGTCGGCAAACATTAGGAAGTTTGAAGCGATTCCCTGTGCAAGGTCATTAATAAACACCAGAAACAAACGTGGACCTAGAACCGAGCCTTGCGGCACACCACACTCGACTTGTATGGGGTCCGATAAAGAGCTCCGAACTCTGACCACTAATTGCCGTTGAAATAGAAAGTTGGCGATCCAGCTTAAAAGAGTTTCTCCGATCTGTAATGCTGCAGCTTGGATAGTAGTATCCGATGGGCTAGACGATCGAAAGCCTTGGAAAAATCCAGGTAGATCACATCAACACCTTCTCCAGCGTCGGCTGCCTCGGTCCAACTACTGCGTGCAGTTAGTAAATTCGCTGTACATGACCGCTGTCGACGGAAACCGTGCTGTTCAGGGGTGATGAGTTGCAGTTTTCCAGATAGCACACCAGTGCATCGGCAACTATGGATTCCTCGAACTTGAAGAGTATAGGAAGAAGGGTTACTGGGCGGTAGTTGGAGGAATCAGTTCTACTTCCAACTTTGTGGATCGGGCTTATTATTCCAAGCTTCCACATGGCGGGAACTTGGTTCTGGTCTAAGCAATGCTGGAAAAACTGAGCTAAAGGTCCTGCCAGTTTGTTTGCTGCTGCTCCCAATGCCTCTGGACGAATGGCGTCGACACCCGACGAGCTGTGTTTGCGTAGAGAAGTCAGCTTTTGCAATACAGCCTCTGCGGTAAAATTGATGTGGGTTAGTCCTGGTGAGCAGAATACAAAGCTTGGTAGATCGCTTGGTGGCAAGACTCCTTGAAACTTGGGGGCGGATTGCATCTGCAGCGCGTTTGCAGCTTCCATAGACGTTCTTGTTGGGCCATCAGCCGTCTTGAGTGGAGGAAATCCTTGCCTCACCTTTCGTAGGCTATTAACGTGCTTGTACAGCAGTTTGTGGTTAGCACTGAAGGTTTACGCGATGTTCTGCTGATAGGCGGTTTTGTCGTCTCTTAACAGTTGAGTGCAGTGGTTACGTTGGGCTACGTAGTTGTCCCACGTTTCTGGTGCTGGAGCTTCTCTGTACACTCACCATGCTGCGTTGCGTACTGTCATCCATTTTCGGGTTCTACTCCTAACGAAATAAACGGATTTGCACTTATTGCAAGCTTTTATCTCTGAAGCCTGTGCAATCAGCTGACTGAATGTGTTGACGAACTCGAGCCAGGCGACTTCCGGGGGTTTTTCTTCGAGGAAAGACCATGTTGTGGCGCTGACTAGCGTTAGAATGATTTTCTGGCACGCCATGTATGAAGACTGTGTTTAGGCGGTCTCGCTTGCTGTGCCCCTCTTCGGTGTTTCGTTTTGGTTGTCGCGCGCTCCAAGGACATCAGGTTAGATACGCATCGTACAGGATTCGTGTTTTAGCGCGCTTGCGGAGAGCAAAACATTTTCCACGTCGGTGGAGGATTCTAGAGTTACTCGAATAAGTCTGGGTTCACCATAGTGTGGCGAGTTCGGATGACGAGTAATTCGTAACAAGTTTATGGGCTTGGCTTTGATACTCATCTGCATACACAATGAGTTCCATTGGTCTTGGTCGTCTGATAACTTATCCCGCAATGTGATGGCGGTAGATTCAGGGACATTTGAGCATACAACAGTCCGGGCACTGTTGTTGGATCCCTCAGGTTGTTGATTCCTCATGAACTCACACCAAGCAATCCTGGCTTCAGCGTGTATTGTTGCTAGTCCATCCGTTTGATGACAGTTCCATTTGCTGTCTTGGAGTGCATACCTCTCCTCTTCATGGTGAGGTGAGTTATGCCATTTGGCTATGGAGATAACAATCGAGCGGTCTTGTATGCTGGGCCGTAAATGATTCCAGGGAAAATGGTTTCGATTCCCTATTAATTTTCGACATAAGGATGCTTTTATAAATCCTATGAAAACCAGTTTCCTTAGTGTATTCTCATTTATCACTGACTTGTCCATTCGGTCTGAAAATAGCTAACACCACTCTGCTTATCATCACACGCATTGTAATGGGTGACTAACCTACCCTCCGATGCTGAGACGTTTACAGTTTCAATTCTCGGTGGAACCGCGGGAAATCACTACTGGTGATTCTCAATAGATTCTCTTAGATTATCAATATGCCGAAACAGCCATCTGACAGTGTACCAGAAGCGTTAGCATGCTGGCTGAATCAGAAGTACAGTGAAGCTTTCCCAACAAAAGAAAGCATCTTCCATTTAAAAACTTTACCGGACACATATATGGTTCTTATGGGTAAATACAAAATTGTCTGAACCAGTGAACTCTCGCTAGTCAGATTCATTCACCACACTTGTGCTTGCAAGGAAACGCACATTGGCTAAAAACGAAGATACCAAACTTCGAAAGTCTGGTAAAGTTTCCAGGGTGAGAGTGGTGTTAAATTAGAACCAGGTCAACAGACCAATGCACTTAGCGGTGAAGGTTCAATGTTGGTCAGTACGCTCTTAAACCAACTGGCATATGTTGTTGAAGCTTAGATATTTTCGAATGGTACTCAGTGACTAATAAACTTGGGAATACATAAACACTTCGGGCTTCTAACCGGTTATACCACCTGAATATATTTGACAATTGCCTCTACGTTCTAGCTTCGCATCGGTCTCAGTCGATGCCGATTGCCGCAGTTTTGAGCTATTCTGCATTTGCTACGTTGCCTACAAGAATCCCCGTAAAAGCATTTTACTCCTGTACCGTCTTGTGTCCTTCTCTCTAAATTAGTAGAGAAGTTCGAATTGGTCATATATCAAATCCACTTTGTTTAATTTTGTTCCGGCCGGAAACTGTGTTTCATCCATGGATGTCACGTCTTCATGGCCTGTCGCAAACTAGATCTCATGTAAGGCTTGAGAATTTGCGGTAAACTCTAACAATTAAGTCAACAAAATATCCTTATATGAAGAAGAAGTTTGTTTGGATTGTCTGGAAGTTCTTACATTCGATCCAAACCTCACTCCTAGATGGCTGTGACTAGAAGCTCCTTGCTATAGGTAGCCAACCCGTCGCGATTTAACGGCATACCAACGATTCATGACCAACGCTTGCTTCTGATCGCATAATTAATCAAGAAAATTTAGTATTCCTGCTCGTTCTGCGCAATAATATAGCTAAAATATGACCTAAATCTCAACGTTCCAGATTCGAAATCCGCTACAGTTGTAGAGTTGGAAAATTGGAATGCGTCTTTAAGTGAATCAGATTTACCACAAAATCCAACTATAGTTCAACGTTCATTATCTAACGTGACCGGACCAGCACTGATAATAAACGTTTCCTGTATCCTTAGGTGGAACTTTTATGAATCGGAAGGTTGTGAAATTTTCGTTGTTATTTCTTAAGTGTTATTTCGTTACAGCATTTCATTGCGTTGAATAGCTAGCCGCACGTTACGCGTAATACACAGTGCGTATTGATGACAGAAAATCTAAGCGAGTTCGCAATCAGATAACCGGATGGCATGGTCTCGCTAATATTCAGGAAACTAGCACTCTAAGCGTTCGCGGAAGTGACAAGTATCACCAAATAACCTTAGTGAAGTCAGAGGAGCACCAGGGGTTGCCTCCATATATTCTACCTCACTTGATCAAAAGACCCAGATTAGTTCGATAAGCTGGACAGGCTGAATTTATGTAGCCAACTTAAAATAGGAATGTGAGGTTTATATTCTAATCAGATATTCTTCTATACGGTGTTTCGAGGCTGCTTCCATCTGTGAATCGAGCAGTACAATGTCACCAATCGAGCCTGTTTGGTTGGATGGCACAGTCGAAGAGTGTAGGAGAGTCTCATGGCATATTTAATCATAAGGATCCAAAATCCCGTGTTTCAGAGGAGGAAAGTCAGCCCTATTTCGAAGGGTGATCTACCCATCGTACTCAACAGGTTCTTTTGACTTTCGATTCAAATGCCTACATTCTTCAGTGTAATAGTGTACAAAGTCAGATGGTTATCCACCTATTGGGGATGTCAGCGAAATGACTGTATCGTAGGAGCTCGAAAACGTTAACCTCTGCACAATGCCGGGCACAGAGTGTGGTCAGGAAGAATAAACAACAACTGACTGCTCGCTCCTGGCAGGCACAAAATTCTTGTGTTGATGTCACTAACACGCGTCAAATGGACGCAACAAATCTAGATAAACCAGAGGATAAATACTCTAAGGGAAACTACCGGAGTCATGGTCTGTCGATAGGTGGACAATACGATCGATTGGGATATCGTTAAAATTGTCCGGACACCGCATGTATACATAGTTCGGATCCAGCCACGTGCAAATTGCTAGGCTTGGAAAAATGACCGCTTTTATTTTTTTACAGGTTAAAACTTTTGAGCAGCAGGATATTTAAGTAATCAATAGCAAGCAATCATGTAATTAGTGGTTGGCATATTGTTCCGCTGCAAATGCGGCGGTAGCCTAGATTTTCTGTTGTAAGTACATAGATTGATGCACTGTTCGCGTGCCATATTTGGTTACGAGCAGTTTCAATGTGCGGAAGGCGAATGCACATACCACATGCAACATTCACGCACGCTGCCAGTCACATTAGCATCCGGTCGTTTGTGTGGAAAGCTAGAGGGATGCAGTCAGAGACAAAGAAACGGAACCAGGTCAATGCTCAATGGATTGGATGCTAATAGTCTGCCCTGCCATCCAGGAGTTTTGTGCGCTTGCAGGCGATGATTCGCGACCGTCAAAAGTGGCATGTTCGCGGCTGCCTCCATACATCAACATCATCAGCATCATTCTCATCATCCTCATCCTCATCATCCTCATCATCACCACCATCAGCAGCAGCAGCAGCAACAACAACAACAACGACAACAACAACAGCAGCGATACACGAGGCGAGGGTGAGAAACACATCTCAGCTAATGTGCCACAACACAAGATAATACATTGAGCAATGCAGAGTCAAATAAGTAACATGCTGTTAACTATCACATTTGTGATCGTTGTGGACAGGGGAAACTAAAGAGGAAGAGACAGAGACTCACAATAGAAACGCCATTGCGATCGACTCTTCGCCGTCAACAAGTACATCCAACCAAACATGTCCATAGTCCTTCGGTCCTAAGCCCGGCAGCCGGGAAACAACAACCGACGCCAAGTTCGAAGTGAGTGAGTTCGTTCCCCATTACTTAGTCATCGCTCGGCCACCCTTCCACTTCTTCCATCCACACCCGCTGCGCGCAAACAGCGCACCATGTGGGGTCAGTGTGCTGCGTGCGCAACACGTGACCCAGGCACCGGAGCCAGCTTCCATACAGGACAACCAGAATCAAGTTGTCGAGTGCTGAGTTCCCCGTAGGTTAAATCTGATTTAAATTTCGGTAGTTAGCGAGGCAGGAGGCTGTTTCACTGGCGTTACCGCATTTGTAGCGCAACTAGGGCGGCTGGGTCAGGGAACATCAGTGCAAATACTGATGGAACCATGCTACCGTTTACCATGTTGTTACTTACCGAGATTGTTTCCCTTATCTGCAGTAAACGTTGTCACTACAGTTATGCACCTGTTCCTGTTCATTTTAGCATGCTCCCATCCCAAGCTCATCTTTATCGGTGAAAGAGCCTGCTACACCGAAAAACTCCCCCGCGGTAAGGGTCCTCTCTGATTTACTTCTGCTCACGTTCTACATTCTATGTCGGAAAATCATTTTTCTTTAACATGCACTGATGTATTTTCTTTATGGAGTAATTATGAGATGATTTTGCCCACGTGGACAGCAGTCGGAACAACATTTCGAACCCCATGATATGCGGAACTTGAGTTTGGATGACACCACCGTTAACCGATTTCGGAAGGGCAGATGTGACCTCATCACTCCATGAGATTTTTAGTTGCAGGTGGTTCTATGTCTATGCCTTTGATTGTGGAGCTAGTTACAACATCCAAATAATAGGATTCTAACAATCAGAATAAAGGTACATATGCTCAGATGCATTTAGTGTGATAATTTCCAGACCCCCTGTCATCTGCAATGTTCGTGCTAGCGTAAGCTGCCGGTATCCTCGATAGGCAAATATCTGATCGTTTCGTGTCCCGGATAGAAGCTTGCTTGCCGAACTACCTCCTCGTGCTGCCGGGTGGGTGGTTCGGGTTTACGCATTTCCAGAAACCACTTCAGCGGCGGTGTTCAATGGCATGGCAGGTTTTCGCCTAGTAAGCACCCTGTGAAAAGTTACATTAGTCTGTTTAACAACTGTGACGTGGTGGATTTGAGACCCCCCCAAATAAAGCCATTACCCATGTTTCTTCTCAGTGGAACATTGTACTACAGCGAGTGTGTGTTGACATAACGGGAAAGATTGGACCCCTGGTTGATTACAGCTTAAACAAAATCCGTATGAACTGAGTAATCAGTCACCAGCTCTCAATAGATGTGATTCGTTGTATTCTCTACGCTGCACTGCGGTTAGGCTTTATAGCCACAGGCTTCGGGTGGTGTTCACAAGACAACTCACTACTTCGGCATAGGCAACCAGGTGGTATCACTCACAATGTCAAAACCAAGAACCGTACTTCTGCTATACCTCGCTTAAACGCACTTCTTTACGCTGCTCACACACCTTCACATGCCATCTGTTCACGGGTTAGCAGCCAAACTTCTCCGCTGCCAGCCGATTCCTCTTTCCATGATTCTAGTTCCGATGGTTTCGTCGACACCCACAAAGCTCCCCAATGACCATCCTTCGGCCTCGGCCCTTCTTCCCTCTGTAGTACTTCGATGGACGCACGCTCATGCAGATCGGGCATTATGCTGGTCTGGCGCGCAACATGGAAGCCCTCACCAACGATGTTTGCTGTCTATCTGAAACAGCTTCACGATCTCAGTGCCGTGACTACGTTCCTAACCATACACGGAGCCATATTTCTCCTACTACTATCTAATGACGCAGAAGTAACCGCGGCAGCCTTGGTTGGCGTAGGTGTAGCACTAAGTAACAAAACCGTGGTGGCATTACTGGACCGGTTCCCGAATGATAACCGGCTGTGCGCACTTCGGGTACCATGCAGGATCAACAGACATCGTGAGAAGAGACGCAACTAGTTTGTGATCTTAGCTTACACTCTAACTATTTGCAGTTGTGACTCATTAAAATGACGTATCCTTGAACAAAGCTTGTAAATTTGATATCGTGGTCCATTTTGGGGGGTCTCCACTCATGGGTTGGTCGCCTATCATCATGTGAAATTCGCCTCGGTGTTCACCATGCGCTCGATGATAGCCGATCAGCTATCGAAGAGTGACTTCTCACACTGCGCGAAGACAAGCATTAGTTTCCTTCGTACACCAGCTTCCGGTATTCGAGGAAAAGTACCACTACTTGTCGCCTATCATCGTGTCACGGTCATAGTCTCTAAATAATCACGTCGCAATCCTTTACAGATGGTGAGGCAGTGTAAAGGTTTGCAGGTAAATCTGGTTCACATTTACGGACTCAAACCATCTTCTTGTCTGAGAAAATATCTGCGTGCTTTTCAGAGGGTATTCGAAAAAGAAGCAATGTAAGGTACATCAAAGCATCTTATCTACTCGACTGGTTCAACAAAGCTATAAAACTTCCGTGGCCGATGCACTTGTCTGCGACCCACCACAAAAGATTGATGGACACGGGACATTCATGCAGAGGGCCGTTTTCGTTTTCGGAGAGTCAGTCGGTATTCTTACTCAGAAACCCATGAAGGTCTAGATATCCACGAGCATCGTGGATCTAATAAACCACCACAGAAATATCTCATGGGAGTCTTTTCAAAAGGAAGTCTGACGTTTTGTTATTCGGCAGCTCAAACAAAACCCTACCCATTGATTGTGAAGTTTGGTGGTCTCAAGGTACTTCCCAAATGGAGGTCGCTGACCTATCTG